TGCCCCTCGAGGCGCTGGGCCAGGTGGTCCAGTGCGCCCGTGAGTATGGCTTCATCTGCAGGAACAGTCGGCAGCGGGCGGGCGAGTCCTGCCTCAACTACCACATCCGTGTGCGCTGCTGCGATGACTACAGCCACTGCCCATCCACGCCCGGCAACACGGCGGCCCCCTCCCCGTCTTCAGGGGGCACCCTCACCCCAGTGACGCCCACCACTATGGCCACCACCCTTGTGGGCCCCTCCACGGCCTCCAGCGGCACCTCCCAGGCCAGAGAGTCCACCACCAGGCCCTGGGAGACCCTGCCCAGACGCACCAGCACTGTGGTCAGCACCACCAGGGCCACCTCCAGCCCAGGGGCCAGCACCAGACCTTCCCCATCGCCCCCCATTCCCGTGACCACCAGCTCCCTGCCGGGCACCACCCCGGGCCCTTCTACAGCCGTCCCCACGGCTACAGGCTCCACGATGAAGGCTCTGACCTCTCCCATCACGACCTCCAGCACCACGACCTCAGTGGCCACGCCCACTGCCTGTCAGCCTCGCTGTGCCTGGACCGACTGGCTGGACCAGAGCTACCCCATGCCCGGGGCCTCCGGAGGGGACTTTGAGACCTACGCCAACATGCAGGCATCTGGCCAGCCCGTCTGCGAGCGGCCCGAGGGCCTGGAGTGCCGGGCCTCGTCGCTGCCTGACGTGCCCCTGGAGCAGCTGGGCCAGGTGGTGCTGTGCAGGCTGGAGGAGGGCCTGGTGTGCCGCAACCGTGACCAGGCCGGCCGCTTCAAGATGTGCTTCAACTACCAAATCCGTGTGCTCTGCTGTGACGACTACCGCCACTGCCCCAGCACGGCCATGGCCACCAGCACGGCCCTGCCCACCAGCACAGCCATGCCCACCAGCACAGCCATGACCACCAGCACGTCCATGCCCACCAGCACGGCCCTACCCACCAGCACGGCCACGCCCACCAGCACGAGCCAGCGGACTTCCGGGCCCACCGAGGTCAGCACCACGGCCACCACCCAGTCACCCCCCTCGTCCCCCAGGATCACAGAGAGTGTCCCCGCCACCCAGACGGCTGGCACCTCCCTCAGGACCACCCAGTGGCGCTCTGTCCCAAGTCCCTCTGCCTCCACAGGGACCCTGACCACAACTGCCAAGCCAGCCTCGCCCAGTGCTCCCCACGTGGCCACCTCCCCCATTCAGACCACCCCTGGGACCCCGTCCTCCAGTCCCACCTTTGGGACCTCCCTGCCCACCAGCTCCCTGAGGCCGACCCCGATCTCCACCACCTCCATGACCTCCACAACCCCTGGGGCCTGCACGCCACGGTGCACGTGGACAGACTGGTTCGATGAGGACTACCCCACCCCGGTTGCCGACGGCGGGGACTTTGAGACCCTCTCTGTCCTCCGCGCTGCCGGCCACAGCTTCTGCGAGCAGCCTCAGGACATCGAGTGCCGAGCAGAGAAGGCGCCGGACGCGAGCCTGGAGGACGTGGGCCAGGTGGTTCAGTGCGACGTGCGCTTTGGGCTGGTGTGCCGCAACCGCGACCAGGGCGGCCGCTTCAGGATGTGCCTCAACTACCACGTGCGTCTGCTCTGCTGCGACGACTACAGCCACTGCCCCTCCACGCCCGGCACCACGGCAGCCCCCTCCCCGTCTTCAGGGGGCACCCTCACCCCAGTGACGCCCACCACCAGGGCCACCACCCTTGTGAGGCCCTCCACGGCCTCCAGCGGCACCTCCCAGGCCAGAGAGTCCACCACCAGGCCCTGGGAGACCCTGCCCAGACGCACCAGCACTGTGATCAGCACCACCAGGGCCACCTCCAGCCCAGGGGCCAGCACCAGACCCTCCCCATCGCCCCCCATTCCCGTGACCACCAGCTCCCTGCCGGGCACCACGCCGGGCCCTTCTACAGCCGTCCCCATGGCTACAGGCTCCACGATGAAGGCTCCGACCTCTCCCATCACGACCTTCAGCACCACGACCTCAGTGGCCACGCCCACTGCCTGTCAGCCTCGCTGTGCCTGGACCGACTGGCTGGACCAGAGCTACCCCATGCCCGGGGCCTCCGGAGGGGACTTTGAGACCTACGCCAACATGCAGGCATCTGGCCAGCCCGTCTGCGAGCGGCCCGAGGGCCTGGAGTGCCGGGCCTCGTCGCTGCCTGACGTGCCCCTGGAGCAGCTGGGCCAGGTGGTGCTGTGCAGGCTGGAGGAGGGCCTGGTGTGCCGCAACCGCGACCAGGCCGGCCGCTTCAAGATGTGCTTCAACTACCAAATCCGCGTGCTCTGCTGTGACGACTACCGCCACTGCCCCAGCACGGCCATGCCCACCAGCACGGCCATGGCCACCAGCACGGCCATGACCACCAGCACGGCCCTCAGCACGGCCACGACCACCAGCACGGGCCAGCGGACTTCCGGGCCCACTGAGGTCAGGACCACGGCCATCACCCAGTCACCCCCGTCTTCCCCCAGGATCACAGAGAGTGTCCCCGCCACCCAGACGGCTGGCACCTCCCTCAGGACCACCCAGTGGCGCTCTGTCCCAAGTCCCTCTGCCTCCACAGGGACCCTGACCACAACTGCCAAGCCAGCCTCGCCCAGTGCCCCCCACGTGGCCACCTCCCCCATTCAGACCACCCCTGGGACCCCGTCCTCCAGTCCCACCTTTGGGACCTCCCTGCACACCAGCTCCCTGAAGCCAACCATGATCTCCACGACCACCATGACCTCTACAACATCCATGACCTCCATGACCTCTGTGACCTGCATGCCACGGTGCATGTGGACTGACTGGTTTGACGCTGACTATCCCACACCCGGCAACGACGGCGGGGACTTTGAGACCCTCTCTGTCCTCCGCGCTGCCGGCCACAGCTTCTGCGAGCAGCCTCAGGACATCGAGTGCCGAGCAGAGAAGGCGCTGGACAGGAGCCTGGAGGACGTGGGCCAGGTGGTTCAGTGCGACGTGCGCTTCGGGCTGGTGTGCCGCAACCGCGACCAGGGCGGCCGCTTCAGGATGTGCCTCAACTACCACGTGCGTCTGCTCTGCTGCGACGACTACAGCCACTGCCCGTCCTCAACCCCGGAGACCACGGCAGCCCCCTCCCCGTCTTCAGGGGGCACCCTCACCCCAGTGACGCCCACCACCAGGGCCACCACCCTTGTGAGGCCCTCCACGGCCTCCAGC